CCTTTCTCCCTCTCCCTCCTTTTCTTCCCTAGTTCTTTCTTCCTCCCCTCTCCTCCTTCCTCTCCTTCCTTTTCTGCCATCTCCCCCTTTCCTTCCTTATTCCTTTCCTTCTCTCTTACCTTTCCTCTTTCCCTATATTCATCTTGAAGCTTTAAGTTCTTCATTTGTTCAACAAACACTTCTGTGATGCCTAATATATACCATCTATTTTCCTAACCACTTTGCAAATATTAATGTCTTTTAACTATGGGTGCTGTTAATGGTTCCTATTGTACAGTGATGGAACTCACACAGGACTTTCTAGTAGTCCAGTATTCATTTCCAATAACCAATAGAAATCTTGGTAGTAGGCTAGAGGCAAGTATTAGTAAAAACGGAAGTTTTTGCCTGTAACTAGATGTTATGTCATGTTTCTAGATGTCCCCTTAACCCTCATACGATCGTAGGTGGGGCATTTTCAGGGGTGGTTGGACCTAGAATATGTGACACTGGGATTGATTTATGCTATGATAAGGATGTGAATACTACCTGACTGAAATATCCTGGATAAGATTAAGGGATAAAAAGACCTGTAGTATTTCCTTGTTGCTTTTGCTTTGTTGTGGGCACCGTGAACTGTTCTCTTATGTGATACCACCCTGCCTTGTCTGAAACTTCTAAAAACTGTGAGCTAAGTAAAACCTTTACCTATTTAACTTTGGGTGTTGGGTATTTTTTGTCTCAGCAATGAGAGAAAAGTAACCAAGACACGGGGTTCACTACTTCTTACTGATCTGTATTTTTGATCTGTATTCTGTTGTAGCTGTATAATTAGGACAATTTTGCCATAAACACATAAAGGGTTCTAATGCTTTCGTACATGACCTCTACTGTCTCATGGGTATCCTAGAATTTCTGCCTGTCATGCACATGTGTCTAATACACACACACACACACACACACACACACACCATAGAACACGTGCAATGTTCATGCCATGGATTTGAAACTAGGTACAGGTACACTGGCAAACACACAGGCCTGAAATTTGGTAGGCCCCTTGACATCTGATTCTGCCAGTTATATCTATGCTGTTATGGAAGTTACTTAATCACTTGAAGCTAGCTTTGTGAAATGAAGAAGATGATAATAAAAACTGTGAGGATTACTGCATATAGAAATGTTTAATACATGGTAGCTATTTTTGCAGGTATTAATATGCAAGATATGTTTATATTTTAAAGATACTTCATTCTTTGGCATGTGTATAGTTTATACTGAGTTTCAAGGACCCTGCACAAGGTTGTATTTATCTAAGAACTTAACTCATTTTGAATCTTGATGTTAGTTTTATCTCTTTTTTTTCTTTGGCCTTCTATGGGACCTTGGAATCAATTCCCTCATCCTTATCATGTAATTTTCAGGGTCCAAATGTCTAATCTTGTGCAAATACCAACATTCCTTTGAGGTCAGTGACAAAGTACAGCAGCAGAATCCAACATTACCTGGAGACTATCAGTGTGATTTTTCCTCTCTCATGGAAAGTCTATATGGTATGATATCACATAGGAGATCTTGGGACAGAGTTAGGCCAGATTCTGTGTGACCCCAGACCTAGAGTTCGTTCCTCGGAGTACAGGGTACCCCTTGAAAGATGCTCCTATTATTGTGTGGTAAGCTGACCCACCTGTCAGGTCTAGGTCCTAGTCAGGGAACCAAAGATGTCACATCTAGGGAACCAAAGATGTTGTCTTGGACAGCACTGCTCTGCTGTCCAAGGAGCCACTGGGATTGTAAACTCATCCCCAAATAAAAGAATTACAGGGACAAAATTTAATAACAGGAAAACACTTTATTTATAAAGAGAAAGAGGAAGGGAGACTAAAGGAGAAGATTGATAGCTATGCTGATAAAGATAAGAAAGAATCAGGGTATGTGTCTCTGGAAAGATGCAGGACCTGTGGGCCCTTTGTTCCCAGCTGCTTTTATGGGGGATGTGTGACCCTACCCCCTGCACCTGAAACTTCCCATTAGTGAATTGGCATCTGAGCAGCTCTGTCTAACCTCATTTGTTCTGGTGGTATATATGCAGATTCTTTTTATTTATTTGTCCTTAGCCTAACTTTTAAGGCCTTATCTTTGGAGTGGGCAGCTGGTTGGTAAGAGGGTTCCTTATTCATGGTTAGCTTAGAATTAGTAAAGAAGCTTGTGAATATCTGTTATATTCTGTAATGACCCTAGAGTGAATAATACAGTGACTCTAGAGTGAGTACACATGTGTATGTATATGTATATGTTAGTGCATAGATGTATATACTATGAGTATATACTGCCTTGAAGTTACTGTCCCCTTTATTCTTTTGGAGGTGGAGGTGGCTTATCATTTGTGTACTTGGTTTTCTCTCTATGTCCTGCCTATCAGCTCTTTTTCTTGTCTCTTGATATAAGTTGCAAGGCTACTTGGTGCCTTTCTTTATCTGTTTTTTTTTTTTTTTCTCTTTTTCTACCCATATCCTTGACTTGCTTTCCAGAGACATTTCTCTACTAATTTTTTTTAACCTCCTTCTACTCAGGATTAGCTAGAAGACCTAAGGAGGCTCCTATTCTATTTTCTAGTCTACAGACCCCTTATCCAGGTGGCCAGTGTGGCATAATAGTGGTATGTCTCCTTCTTTTTATGGACCAAGTCAAGTCCTATTAACCTCCACAACTGAAGTGCTCCATCCTGGTCAAAAAGACTTCTCCCCTTAAAGTGATCCCTTGAAAGCATTTTAGAACTGGGCTGCACAATGTGGGAAGAGGAGAAAGACCCTGAAACCAAAAGGAAGGACAAGGAGCATCTCTGAGTTTCCATTTGAAGCCATCTGGGAGACTGGTGGAAGAGAGGGAGACTCTGATGGCCCAGAGAAAGAGACAAGATTTTGAAGTCTGGAGTCAGATAATTATGGGTGTGAGTTCTGGCTACTGATATGTGACATTCACCTGGTTGCCTCACATCTCTGAACCTGGGTTGCTCATTGACAAAATGGGTAAAATCATTATACCTATCTCAGAAGGTTGCTGTAAAATTAAATAAGCGTTGGTAAAGCACTTCATTAGATACTTGCCTGGAATATATTCAGTGCACATTCTCACTGTTGAGGATTTGGTGACAAAGAACAGCAGGAAGAAACAGACTAAGAGAGATGAAAAAGTGTCTTGGGGCTTCTGAACTATTTTCTGGAATCTCCTTGTAATGTCTCTTCATCTTACAAACACTTTTGTGAGTTCTGAGAAAAGAGCCAGAGTTCTGGAAGGTCAGATAGACACTGAGACTCAGCTAATGTCTATATTGTCTTGTGGTATCTTTTTTTTTTTTTCTTTTAGGCTTTCTTTTTTTTTTTTTTTTTTTTTTTTGTCTTTTTTCTTTTTATCGGTACCAGGGATCGAACTCACGACTGCCTGCTTGCAAGGCAGGCGCTTATGCCGCTGAGCTAAATCCCCAGCCCTTTCTTTTAGGCTTTCTTTTCTTATTTTATTAGCTCCTGTTTACAATTCCTGCAGTTTATAGTCATTTTGGGGAGTGGTTATGTGTCCTTATTATAGCTTTTTTTTTTAACTCCCCTTCCCTCTCCTCCCCTGCCTTCCCCTCCTGCTTTTCCCCATCTCCTCTGGTTCTATAACCTTTTTCATACTTATTGATATTCTTTGTCTTAGCACATGTTCTGGTATATAATGTTTACATTGGCTGGAAATACTAAGACCCTATACATGGCACATCTTTATTCCCCTCATTTCCCCTTCCCGCGCCCCCTCCTTGTTTCCTTGTCCACTTCCCTATTGGATGTGATCTGTCTCCTTTCTATCCATCCTCTATTCTTTTTGTTTGTACTTTGCCTTACTCAAAATGCAATATCGTAATCATATTTAAGCTTGTATGTTTATTTCACTCAACATTATATTTTCCTACCAATGTTCCTAGTAATGCCTCAAATTTGTTATTTTTATAGCTGAGTAGTGTTCTGTTACATATAGATGTCACATTTTGTTTATCTAGTCATCTGTTGATGGGTATACAGGCTGCTTCCAGGATTTGACTATTATGAATTGTGCTGCTATAAACATTGATATGCAAGTGTTTCTTAAGAAGCATGTTGACTCAGTGATGTTTGTCCATGACCCATCAAATCAGCTTTTCATCAGGAGTAAAGACCATTTACCCAGAATGATGAAGAGAGCCACTTAAATCCTTCTTCTAAGCACTTACAATTAGGGTTTCTTGTTCAGTTAATTGTTCTTGACTTATGAAGGGTTTGCATTTTTAAAAGTCTGGTATTGGGACCAGGAAGCAATACCACTACTTGATGTAGAAGATTGGTGGTTTACTTTTTCATCATTGCCCTTTTTTTTCAATTTTGTTCTGTTCTACTTTGCTGTTAAGCTACAGGGCCCAATATGTAAAACAAATCAAAACCAACCTGGAGAACTGCCACATTTATCTTCCCCATCTACTGCCACAGTTCTTGAAGGCATTTCAAGACAGTAGGGAAACACAGCTTGCAAAGATTTGTAATTGACTTCATGATTTGTACCAGCCTTTCGTGTTCAGGTCTCTTATTTGGAGCTAAGTCTCAGCCATGACTATATAAACAGGTGGCCATGTTCTAATAGCCTTCTACTGTAAAAAGGAGTGTTGAGCTGCTGCATCTCCACTTTGCTATGCCATAGCAGTTGAAGCCATTGGTTTGAAGCTGCCTGAATGTTTAGGGAGCATAGAGCTCATGATGTAAGGAAGTATGATAAGTGTGTTCCATAAGTTTCTGAGGGATTCTGAGGTAGTAGTGGTACCCTTCAGAGCATTTTAGTTAACATAAAACATGCTGCTTTTAATTTATTTTGCATGTGCACAATCTTTAGGACTGTTTTACACAGAACTACTTATATACTTAGTCTTCTCCCAAATGACGTGGTTTAACCCTACACATTTTCTTCTCTGCATCAGAGTCTGAATGTGATGTGCCTTAATTTTCTTTCTACTGTAGGTTACAAATGCACATGTTGAATGGAGCTCTTCTGGCACTTCTGTTTCCTGTGGTAAATACCCGGCTGGTAAGTAGCCTCCTGTAGAAATTTTCCAGTAACATTCAGAAAAGTATCCGCTTACCCCTTTGTTATCCAGTGGCTGTCTTAATTCTTAGCTCATATGCATGTGTTTTGTGTATGTGTGTGAATACTGAGGTTTGGTGTAGTCCTGCTTAGATGTAGTGATGGTTGATGGGATATGAGTATTCTGTGGAACCGTGGGTCTCCAATAAGTATTTAAATCAGAGTAGAGGCAGACCAAAAAGGCCCAGAAAACAGGCAGAATTGTGGTACAAAGAAAGGGGACAGGAGCCTCACCCATTAAACAGACTTTCAGGTGTTCTAAGTGGCTCTTGTGTAGGCTCTGCCACATTGGTTATAATAATCTTCTAGGGAGCCTCAAAGCCTGTCCAGTCTGCCAAGGGCCCTGTTGGGGAAGAACTGGATTCCCTCCTTAATCAGCCAACCCCACCAGGAGGTGTGAATTACCCCCACCCTGAGGCTACCAACCAGAAAGTAACTATAGTAGGGGGCCAGGTGATAACTTGGTGTCAAGAGAAGTAGAACCCACAATGTTGGGGAGGTAGGACATTATCATCAGATTCCCACATGTAAGACTAGGCAGGGATTAGCAGGACACTTTTAAAAGCTCAGGGAAAGAAATCACCCTTAAAATCATTCTTCTTGGCTTTCACTTTCATGACTCAAATTTATCTCATACATAAAGATGGTAGTTTATCTCTTAATAATCTTTTTTGGATAGCATTTTATACTTCATAAGGCCTTTTTACATAATAGGTGTGGGAAATAGGGCAAATATTATTGCCTCTTATTTTACAGGGGAAGAAATGAATGTTTAGGGAGTTACATAAATTTTTAGTGGAAAAGTTTCAATCAGAGTCCAATCCTAAAACTATAGCTTTGCTTTGTTCTTCTTGAAGGATTTATTCATCTCTCCCCCACAGTTTTTCAAGTAAATCTTTGTAATACTTGTACTTTTCTAGATGCAGATTATACATAAGTCAAAGTTAAAAGCAAAAGCACTTATCTAAAGCTGTGATGGTGAATGTTTTAGAATTTTCAATTGTAAGAAATAGCCCATTGTAGTACGCATGCCATAGGTTCACCACCATTGATTTGAAGCAATGATTCTGAATCCTCACTATGCTCCAGGATCACCTAATGAAATTGATTTCATTGTTCTACAATGTAGACTTTATCAATGCCTCACATTCTATAAATACCCTTTATATATATCTATATATATATCTATATCTATATCTATATATCTATCTATCTATCTATATATATATATCTATATATCTATCTATATATATATATATATATATATATATATATATATATAAATTGTATTCCCTGCAATTATTTTCAATTGTTTGTCAATTGCAAATAAAATAAAAAGCGAACTGGTGGAAAATCAAAACTGGTACCCTCTCCTAACCTTGGAGGATTTAAGTTTGTGATCTGTGATAAAACATGGGCATCACATTTTGAGTAGTACCCCTAGGTGATTCTATCATGGAGCCAGAATTGAAAGCTACTGATTCTGTGCAGTAGACCATAGAAGTCACCTAGGTCCATATTAAAAACCAAAATTGGAGAGCAAGAATGTAGTTCAGTAGTAGAGCGCTTGCCTAGAATGCACAAGACCATACATTTGATTCTCAACACCATGAAACAAATAAAAGACTACTTTCACACACCACAGCATTGTTGCTTTAAGACTCAAGGATGTGGCACAGTGTTGGAGCAGAAGTTACTCCTTGACTATGAAGGTATCTTGCTAAGGCAGAAAAATGGATGTGCTGCTATCTTATCAGTATGCTTTCTTATTCTCATTTTTTTAGGAGATTGAATGGTCAGGCAATTAGACAAATACTTTCCACTTTTATTTTTTTATTCATTTATTTTTACTATTTTATTGTTTTGTACTGGGAATTGAACTCCGGACCTTGCACTTGCCAGGCAGGCACTGTGCCACTGAGCTACATCCCTGGCCTCACACTTTCCACTTTCAGCACCTCTCTCAGATTCCAGGAAGGGGAGGCATGTCGGTAAACCTCCCCCAAGACTAATAGAGCCAGAGATTGTGACTTTTCATTGCCTCTAGCCCACAACTCCGGCTCTACAGTCTTTGCCATCAGTTAAGGTGGATATATTCCACTAGACAGGCTAACTTCAGCCTTATTCCTACTAGCATCTTTTCCCCAGTGAAAACCAAATAGCATTATCCTTGTAGAGTCATTGAGCATAAGCAGAATTTGAGTCTAATTCTACAAAGATGAGAATAAGGACTCCAGAGGGCCCAGTCATGTACCCAAAATCATTAAGGAAGTTAGTGGTGAGGATTTCATTCAGTTGACATTGTTATACACACACACACACACACACACACACACACACACACACGTCTCACAAGGTCTGCTAATGTTTTCTTAGGCCCTTTATCAGATGCAAGGTACTGTGTTATCCCTAAAACCAAGACGCCAGATTGACTTCCTCTGAGTCTTCTCTCTTTGACTTTTTAATGACTCCTCTTGTTGCTTCTTTATATGTTCATTTCTCTTTGTGAACATGCTTATAGTATCTCTTTGTGTGGCCAAAGTTACTATTATCAGGATACTCATCAGACTGATTAGAGCCCATTCTAGTAGCCTGCCTTTAACTTAGTCCTTTCTTTGAAGGCCCTATCTCCAAATACACTCAATTTGGAGGTAGTAGAGGTTAGGATTTCAACATACAGATTGTTTTTGGAGGTAACATACACAAGTCAACCCATAGCACCTATACCACTCAATACACAGAATTTTGTCTCTCCCCCACATCTCCTACTTTTCTTGCCTTGCTCTTCTCCATCTCTTATTCCTATTTTCATTCCCTCTTGCATTCTCCCCCACTCATGTGCAATTTGATCTGTTCACACTAACAGCAGATACTTTCCAAATCAATATCAAGGCATAGCCAACTAGTTTATCCAGAATATTCAAGTAACTCCTTGTCTTAGATACTTTTTACTTGTCACTGAGACAAAATACCTGAAACCCAAGTTGGAAAAGGAAAGGTTTATTTCTTACACTTTTTGGAGGTTTCAGTCCACACTCAGTTGGCTCCAAGGCAGGCAGGCAGGCATGGCTGGGCTGCAGTTCATGGCAGCTGCAAACAGCAAGCCGGAACCAGGAAAGAGCAAGACACACTTTCTTCCTGCCATTACATCACATCCTGGCTCCACCCCTTTGTGGGTGACACCATCAATCCAAGCACTAGACAATGAATAACAAATTCAAACTCATGAGGCCTGGGGGGCCACAGACATAAACCATGACACTCCTTATCACTGAAGGTTTATAATGGGTTGTCTTTTAAAACTAGGTGTTCTAGTTACTCTGATATATCTTCATGCTCTTTTCTAATGAAGCTCAGCAAAGCTCCATTTCCATGTGTCTTTTGCTCCTGGCCTTGGTCTGGTTCTTTAAGATACTTGAAACCTTCCCTGCCTGGCAATTTTGTCGTACAAGGGTCTCTGCTTTGTAAGCCCGCCCTTGAGCTAACATTGATGTAAAATGAGGCACAGAAAGATTGGCAGCTCTTTTTTAAATGTAATGATTCAATTAGACAGAAAGGCACTTTTTTATTTTTCTTTTATGCTTCCTTCTTGGCCTTTTATCTTTTTAATCATTTTTTTCTCATTAGCAATAATAATGAAGCAAGAAAAATAAAATGAACTAATGAGTGTAAGCTCCAGTACCACCAATACATATATACTCACATAAATAGAATGACAGAGACTTTGAGGTGTAGTTGCCAGTCAGCTAAAGAACTTGGGGTCATCAGTAAATTTCCACATGTGCTATTCTACCCTGTGACTTATTGGCATCAAGACTTACAAACAAACTAGAAGATGCCTGGATATCAGTTCTTCCTGGTTCTCCATCTTCAAAGCTAACATCCTCGAAGAAAAATTAAATATCCCAATGGGTTTATTTATAAGTAAATGATCTTTACAGACAGGGTGAGTATGCCTAGAACCTGCATCTCCTCACTTAGGCTTCAGAACTCTTTTCCTATTCCATAACTGAAATTCTGAATGTGTTCACATGTTCTGAGGCAAAATACTCAAGATGCTTCTTAGCTTCTCTCCATTTATGAGTCAGGTCATAGGCTTCTCTGAGTAGATAAGGAGTATTATAGTCTTTTCCAGACAAATTTACACATTTTTTGGTGTGTGCTTCTGGGGATGGAACTCAAAGTTTCACACATGTGAAACCAACATCATCAAGCTACATCCCCAGCACACAAACACAGTTTTGTATGTGATTTTGGAGGGACATGAACTACTTTATTTTCTTCCCTGTTGTAACTCCATCTGTGAATCTAAAGTTATGTTCCACCTATTCAGGCTGTCAGTAGCTCACAGCTTGGAGAATAGATATGCTGTCTGTTTTTTGAGTTCCTTGTTATAGCCATGGGGCCTTCGTTCCGATCGTGATGCTGGATTCCTTTTCTGTGCCTATGACTTCACAAAGAATATCATCTAATCTAGGCTAAACTACCTTCTAAAAATAGGGAAAACTAAGAGATGGGAGCTAATTTGTATGCCCATAGAACTTGGTTACATCTTAGATATTCAGTTATAGCTTTCACATTGTAGAGCTGATAATCTAGCCCTGGATTGAGATACTAGGCCCATGCTGCATCATCATATCTGTCTTTTGGGGTTTTTTTACCCTTTTAACGCCCAAGAGAGTTTCTTCATATCATTCCAAACAAAGGATGCTAGGCATAAAAAAAAGAAACTTCAGATGCTATATCAACCTGCTTCCCAGATTGAAGACACTAGCCTGCCCTATATTTGTGTTTTTAGTCATGTGTCTTTTACTGAGATTAGAAAACAAAAATGATAAGTATTCTTTTCATCAAACCCCTTTCTTTGTCAAGGTCCAAAGCCTCCAGCATGTTATCATTTCATTCTCAAAACTGCCCGTTTTTGTGTATCTGTGTGGCTCTAT